ACGTGGAAGAACACAAGAATACGCCGGAAACCGTTCACGTAATGATCGGTTACCCAGCTGTATATGTTGTTTCAGTTTCAACGTAAATTGGCGTATATTTTTGCATTTACGTTTCTTCCGTCCAACTTAATCAACGGTTATTTCAAAGTATACGTTATAAACGTTGAACGGAAAACAGCGGTTTTTCAGAAATAAACGTTGATTTACGTTGGACTGAATGGACGACAAACGTAGCATTTCCGGCTGACGGTTACGCGACGGATATGCCACCCCCATAGTCCGACGGTTACGCGACGGTTACGCGGCGGATTTACTGCATAACCGCCATGTAACCGTTGTGTAACCGTACCGGAAACACGCGATTTCATGCCGTGTATCTTGTCTGTTTTTGAGCGGAGCGGATTGCCAATCAGCCCTCCGACTTGTATTTGTGTCACTCGTCAACTTGCCTATTATGGATTCGATCTGCATAGAGTATTGTCGGCACTGAAATATAAATTGTGGACGGGCAAGGTTTTGGTTTAGTGTTCAACTAGTTGATTATGTTTAATTCAGCATTCAAGAGAAAACAAAAACAAGAAAAATATTTGTCTGCTGTTCTTTATTTAAAATCATTAATTAAATCTTGATGCGCTAATATGTATTCGATCTGCCCAAATTATTTTCAGCACTGAAATGCAGATGGGCATGGTTTATGTTTAGTTTTCATTTTGTTGATTCTGTTTAATTCGGCATTCAGGAGAAAAAACAAACAAGAAAAAACATTTGTCTGCTGTTCTTTATTGCAAATCATTAATCAAATCTTGATGCCATGATAATAACTTGACCCCTGATTGAATGACGTCATGCATGGATCCAAGTCAGTGTGACCTGAAGTTTTCTACTGAATCAAAACATCGAACTCGGAGTCGTTTGAACTATAAATAAACATTACGTAATGTAATGTACATCTATTAAGACATCGTCCATTAAGAGTCGTCATCTGCTTCGAATCAGTTATCATACAGGCATGACGTCATTAATCAAGGCAAGTCGTCACTTCAACATCAAAACAAAGGCAATCTACACGTTTGTCGTTGTGTATATTCTGTTATCAATTAAAAAAATATAAAAAGAAATTAGTATAAATTTGTTTAAAATTGATTTACATATATATATAATCTTAATGTTCATTATTAATTAATCAGTGCCGTGATTAACAGTGCTCGAATATATTTTAGTTTATTTTTTTCAGGTCAGCTGTTAGGTGCGCCTTCATCTGCGACACTTTTTGTATGAAACAATTGGGAAAATATATTATATTTAATATGTTATTAATACTAATTAATGATTTATTAAGAATTACATTGTTCTTAATAACTGTCGACACCAACTTATGGAAAAAAATTGTCTGTAAAAATGAAAGAAAAAGAAACACATGATTTTCAATTAATGATAATTATAATATACATACACTATACAATTTCATATATTTACATTTTATAAGATTCATTTACAGAATGCGAAATTAATGTAGGATTAACAACTGAGTATTGTCGAATATTAAAAGTACAATTATGACCTCACCTTTATTTTCCTAATTGGATATGAACCAGGCAGGAAATGTCAGACACAGGGATACAATCATGACGAAATCGACTTTCTGAATATTACCACTATTCTCCGCTGTGAATCAGAAAAGAAGCAATTTATCAGAAATGAAGAAGCGCTGTTGATAGAAATGAACAACAATTATATTTAATGATTGCATTGAAAACACAAATTTATTGTAACAAAGCTAATGTAAAACATAGCCAGGCCCTCACAGTGATATTGTTAACAATATAGCAAAAGAACACAAGTATACACCACTCAAACACATTTTGTTATACATAGAGGGTGGGATATTCAACGTGTCTGAAATATATAACACACTGCCATGAGACAACGGGTATATGTCACTTGCAAGATAGTGTATGTGTCTGAAATATGATAAATGGGTAAGCAAAATAAATTTTGAATAATCATATCTATTCGAATATTTATAAAAATCTTAGAAGCTAAAATGCGAAACATTCGATACGTGCATGTTTGTGAGACATCTACAGCACTGCACGTTGGTATTGAATATAGAAACACGGTTTTCTTTCACTAGAACACATCCCATTATTCTGATGTATACAATGCTGACACATTCATTTTTGTTAAGAATAAACAATTGTATATGTCTACCAATGTTCGGGTAAATAAATCATTGAAAGGTAATTCATGAATCATATTTTGTCTACCTGTTTCACAAGTATCTCCTGAAAATCCAGTTGCACACACACATTCGTTATCTGTACATGTACCACCATTCTGACAGTCATCGTCATCGGCACATGTACCATCTATGTCAAAATATAAAAATGTTAATGTTATTGTTCAAATGAATATATCATTGAAGGATAGTTTATACAACAGTCGTCTCCTAGACGTACAGTAAGTAGTACAGACACTGTCTGTACACGTACAACCAATCTGACAATAACACAAACACATGCATTACATGTACATATACCAACATTCTGGCAATAAGTGTAATACACAAATGTTCCAGCTCAAAATATATAAATTTATATTTGTAACATTGTTGAAATGAACAAATTGAATGATAGTTCATAACATATATGTTGTCGTACCTGTCCCACAGTGGTCTCCTACATATCCAGTAGCACAAACACAAACACTATCTGTACACGTACCACCATTCAGACAATCAGTGTCACTGCTACATGTTGCTAGATCCAAAATATAAAAATGTATAATTGTTAGTGTTTATTCTTAACTTTCCTGAAATAAATTTACCATTAAAAGATCAATAAAAAATTATTTCGTCTAACCTGTTTCACAGTTGTCTCCTGCATATCCAGTAGCACACACACATGCATTATCAGTACACGTACCACCATTCTGGCAATCATCGTCATCGATACAATACAAAGACTATCTGTACACGTACCACCATTCTGACAATCAGCGTCACTGCCACATGTTGCTAGATACAAATTTTTTTAATTGTTATTGTTTATTTTAACTCGAAATAAATTTACCATTAAACGTAATTAAAAAAACAAAACATATTTCGTCTTACCTGTTTCACAGTTGTCTCCTGCATATCCAGTAACACAAACACATTCATTACTAGTACACGTACCACCATTCTGGCAAGCAGTGTCATCAGAGCATTTTACAACTGTACTCAAAATATAGAAATTTATATTTGTTCAAATGAATAAATTCACACACCCTAGATCATCGACACCCCTTGTTTCACAATTAACTTACTACTACAACAACATCGTTGTTTGCAGATTCATTACAAGTCAAGTTTTTGACGTGCTTGCAGTCTGTTGCGATTCCGATGACAAATTCTTAAAATAAAACAATAAATATAAATTGCGTAAACGAGGAGTGAACGCAAAAGTCCTGTGACTGCGAAATCGCAACAGACTTGCCGCCAGTGTAAACGGCCTCATATTACCAGCCAGAATCAAGCTTGTGATGATTGACATGTCTAATATTGTTCAACCAATCAGAAGGCTAATTAAATTATGAACTTAGATCCTGGAAGCTATACACACATTCTCAGATATTAATCGCATACGCCATTTTACTTTAGATTTCAATTAAAAAAACGTGCAGGGACTCTGTTTATTATTGATTATAGGTGATGATTTACACAAATTTGCTGGCGTCAACAACATGGTAACATAGCGCGAGACAAGTAAACATAGACACGTGCGATGTCCGATTTATTGTCATGGTCCGTGGCTAGGCTGCTCCACCCACCGTTTACGCAATTTATATTTATTTGGCAATAATTTTTTCATCAGAATCGCAACAGACTGCATGCAAGTCTAGTAAGTTTAGATTATCTTTTAAAATATCACGGACCTTTTCATAAAGGATTACAAATCGGCGTGTTTATAAAGGATTAAAATTGTAAGCATTGTTGATTTCCTCCTGATTTGAGCATTTTAGAATTTTATATCCTTACAGAAAGAACTGTAAAGGTAAATAGAAAATAATATTACCAATATTTGCTAAACCCATTATCTGACGCATGCGCATGCTTCAAATCGTTGGAAATTTTCAAAACGTCTTTCCACGTCACCAATTTTGAACGCATATCTAATAATATAAAAACAAACTGTCCGCAAAGAATGTTATAGTTAGCCAGAAAAAAAATTGGGCATGTATATTTGAGTGCAAATCAATCCATACTTTATTGATGTCCCGGTATATTAAAACACGCGCTTTCTTGACAAGACTGTCATTCACCACATTATAAATTAAATTATTTGAATTTCGTACACCACAGATCACATTGCATTAGTTTCAGTGTTTTCGGCATTTTGTTGTGATAGATTTATCTTATCTCAGATAAAAACAGCCCCAAATTTTGTGCAGTAAAAATGCACACAATACTGTACATACAAGCTGTGGTAGTAATTCACAAGTCATGTGTTAACTTACCTGTCCCACAGTCGTCTCCTACAAATCCAGCGACACAGTCACAAACACTAGTGTTTGTACACGTACCACCATTCAGACAATCGGCGTCATCACTACATGCATCTGTGTCTAAAATATTATAAAACATTGAATTAGATGAAGCACATTGTCCCCCATATCCAGCGTTAGAATAACATGACATCATCAATAAGTAAATATTATATTGTAAATATGAAACATAATTTTTTACTTGAATGAGCTTGTAACATTCAAGAAATATGAACTAAATATAAACTAATTTCATATATGGCATTGTGGGGACACTTTACTCGTATTTCCAACAATTGCCATTCATTATTGGTCAATATCATACAGAAATATATACCTATTATTCTGAATATATGTGAATATTCAGGGTCGAACAATTCATGATACTGAGCTACTGAGTTTAGAAAACGGAATAAAACTTTCACCTTACCTTGCATACAGATTAAACCCACGCACACCAAGATGGAGATGATTTGAAATCTGCTGAAGAGGAAAAATCAAGATTAGATTAAATTCATATGCGAAAAAAGGAACCAAGTGTGTTAATAGTAGCAGTGGTCGAACCTCATATCTGTAGTTTCGTCGTCTTCTTCTACGGAATGCGTTTCAAAGTTTGACTTCTTCTTACATATACTGGTTAGGAATGAAGCGATGACGAATGATGAGGCTAGTTTAATACCCAAGCAGCCTACACGGAATGCCACTGATTGGGCAGGATAACTCACGTGGTTAAGTAGTTTTCCATGACATAAGATGTAGAGTTTTTGATTGATGAGGAAGACCCTAATTTTAATAAGATAATCAATCATTTATTGTATACTCGTGTCTATGTTTTTCAGATAAAGACGGTAATTTTTTGGTTAATACGTACAATTATATGACATCATTAAAGCCTGCGGTTAAATTTATGGTGATTTTTTCAATTATTATACAAGTAATTTCAGACACTACGTCGATTAATTAGTAAAGGTACTAAGAATCTTGGTTTAGTAACGGGTGTGTCATTCTAACAATATGTCTTCATGATACAATGCCCAGTATTGACGTGAATAGTGTTGGCATGGTGACCGTTTACAGTGTCTAATCAATCTAACACCAACACATTAGACAACCATTCATTAGGCATCACAACAGTTTTTTTTGGTTGAACCATAACAAACAACCGTAAAATACAAAGAATGTTTAGTAACGTCCAATACATGTTTCCTAGCAACCGATATACTGTTTTTATGTTATTCATTCGGGCAACCAGAGCATGAAGGGAACTGCTCTAAATCATAAGACAGTGGTTGAGACATGTTCATTATTGATGATTGTCGAGCCGACAGTGAAATGTTAAATTAAACCACTTACTTACCAGGGCTTATGTGTGAAGAATTCGTGATAAGCCTACCAGACTATGATAAACATGTATTTGCACCTTGCACCTCATAGAAAACATTATACGTATATAAAACAAATAAATGACAATAAATGCAAATACCAACATTAATTGTACTTTTTACTGTAAAAACTGTATTACGAGGGGCGTTCAATAAATAATGAGTGTTGCGCAGTGATCTGCTTTTTGTATTTGAAAAGACGCAAACAAAAGGAGTCTTTGATGAAATGAAAGAAACTTATTTTTACCTTGTAAAACGCTGGCATCGTGAATTCAAACATAGCCGGAAGTCTGTGGAAACATCTCCCAGACCTGGTCATCCCTCTTCTGTTATTGATAATGCATCTGGCCGTCAAGTTGAGGCAGCCATTTTGGAAGATCGACGCATTACTGGTCCCCAAATAGCCCAAGAAGTCAAGATTAGTACAGGGTATGTGGAAACCATCATTTATGACAATTTGCATATGCATAAGGTGTCTGCCAGATGGATTCCCAGGTTGCTCACACCTTTCCAGAAACAAGAACGCGTCGAGTGCTCAAGGATGTGCCAAGAAGATGAGTCAAAGTTTTTCAAAAAACTAATTACACAGGATGAAACTTGGGTCCATCACTATGATATAGAGACCAACGTCCAGTCAATACAGTTGAAGCACTTGGACTCACCACCTCCAAAAAGGCAAGGGTTCAGCCCTCCACTGGCAAGGTCATGCTCACAGTCTTCTAGGACCAGGACGGAGTGACATGAGTGATGACAAATTTCCTGGCAAAGAGTACCACAATTAAACGAGCCTATTACGCTTCACTTTTGATGAAATCGAGAGAATCTATCGAAATCAGCAAAGGTATCCTCCTCCTGCAGGGCATCGCTCCGGTCCACAACTCACATGTCGCCAGATCAGAAACACGGGCGTGTGGCTATGAAATCCTCCCCCACCCCCATACTCTCCTGATCTTGCACCCTCTGACTTTCATCTCTTCCCAGCCATGAAGTTGTTTTTGAAAGGAAATCTTTCCCAGATGATGCAGCCTTGATTTCTGAAGTTACGACATGGTTGGAGGACCAAGCTGGGGTGTTCTACAAAAACGGTGTACAGAGCTGCATCAAACGATGGGAGAAATGCATAACTCTGGGTGGTTCCTATGTAGAGAGAGACTAGTAACTGTGCCAAGTTTCATTAATCTCTTGCTATGGGAAATGGGTCAGGGGCATTACTTATTGAACGCCCCTCGTACATTACTTCAAAATAAAATTTCTCGAAAAGGGAAACATCTAACAACACTATAACGATATAAGACATTTTCGCCAAGCCTCTCTGTTGTCAGTTATTAAATAATATGCCTGGTGTTATAGAGCTGAGACAGTCGGTAGATAATTATGTTAGACACATAAAACAAATGTGAATGTCTTGTCATAAAGTAGAAAAAGTTACTTTGGGAGGTAGAATGTGGGAGGACATGGTAAACATTTGACATGATTACATATTATGAGAAATTCTTTTGCTCTTTTGCACTCATAAGTTATTCATATGCATGTCTGCGATAAATGGTCCGCTCATTCCATCATGTTTTCATATTGCTCATTTACCTTCCCTCATCCGGCTTCAGTCCGAATGGGTGTAACAGCTACTGATTACAAGTGTGAGGTAGAAACACTAGGTTACATACAGAGTAGGCTTACTGAGGGTACACAGTGTAAGACTAGGTAGATGTCAACATATGCCAGCATTAGTTGACTTGGTGGCAACAATTTGAAAGGGGTATTCAAATATTTTATAAGTAGAGTCTGGAAATAAAAATGTTTTGTCTTTTTCAATGTTTTTTCAATGCAAAATACTAGCCAGATTGTTAATTGCAAGTAGGTTTGCAATATGACCCCTATCAGATTGTTCATCTCGTTCCAAATTATGACCAACTATATCTGTACAAAACAATGGTCAATCCTCTTTCTGACATTATTTATTGTGCTCCACCAATTTTCACACAAGCCTGACTATCTGTCTGTCTGTACATTTTGCAAAGTCCTCCGGGCTTTGATGACACAAATAATCACAAAAAGTCTATAGAGTATGGATTCGTTCCTTATTATAAAGGGAAGACATTTTGTGATATTACTATAAGTTAGCTATGAGCTATGTTAAGCTGGTTGTAGTATTTATAAAGTAAAAATACAAAATTTGATTGTTCTCAGTATTTGATTAGCTTAACGTTCTTACAACTATCAATATTGTACAGTCAGAAACCAGGGAGGAAAACCTGTCAGTTTTGTTCTCTCTGTTCAATAGCGAGGATTTACATTCTTACTAGAGAGATTATAGTTTTCCCCTTCTTGATAGTAAGATATAAAGCCTTAGAATTGTGTTATGAGAATTCAATGAAGTATAAAATCAGTGAATCAATACAATGAGAAGCTTCGGGGAATTCAGCACCACAATGTTATTACCTATTATGTAATGTCTGTCAGCTATTCAATAACGACTCATTGTGCAACACTAATGAGATTGCTTTTTGGTCAGTTCCCACGCCTTTCAGAACAACGCTATGTATATCAAGCAAAACTTTCTTCAAGATTTGTCATGTTTAAATACGTGCATTAGGTTTAAATAAATGCTGTGTAACTGGACTCATCAAGTGGCCGAGAAAGACGTAGTGTCAAAGTTTATACTGACTGTATTCACCCTGTGTTCTTCTGACGATGTTCCACGCATGTTATGTATTTTGCCGTTTTTTTACAGTGTATTTCATGTAAAGTGAAAGCTCGCATCTTCCATCCGCATTGCAATGACTTTTAAACCTCAACATTAATTTAATGGAAAATCCAATATTACTCACATTTTTCATTTCCGTGCACATCGCACATTAAGTCATTTCCTGAGGACGAAAATTTGTACAAGTCATATTCATTGATGGATTGGAGTAATATTTTTAAATGAAGCACGTACCTTGGATGCATTCTTTTTAACTTGACATACGGACTTGGGTTTTATCTTATTTTACATTATTGACATGACAGTGAATCACGTGACTGGCCGTAAAATAATATGAAGACAGGTTTCTGGTGATTACTTTAAGTTCATATACATGAAAGTGGGAATGAATCAAATATCTGTATTCTCATAAATTGTCATAGAATGTTTACACTGCTTTACACTCGACTAGTGAGTTGCCAATCAGCAACAAAACAACATAGCTGGTAATTTTTGTCAGTAATGACATGGTTTGATCGTGTTATTGGTTACATTCCCCCTAGCACATGGTAAAGCACTTGCCAGCTGTTGTTCAAAGGATATAGTTGCTTCAGACAATGAATCGATGAAAGGATGTGACAAATAAGAAAACAATTTGTTGATTTCGGTATTTATGTCGACCTTGCCTTCTACTTTAAAATATTTTGATGTAGCCAGTGTACCTTCTATTAAGTAATGCCATGGGTCATACAGTGATAAGTTATTTTGGACTACGCCTTCACAATACCCCTGTATCCAATGTTTTCTTATACTAATATCCTAGGATCTATTTTATTTATATATATAACGCGACAGCTAAAAACAATGCCCAAGAAAAGTAATAATAATTGTACCTATCGTGTCTGGGTTATAAATCTGGTACTGATAACTGTCTGTTGAAATCATGAGTATTCATAGTTGCTTATTGTGCAAGTGACTGGCGTTCAATTTCAATAAGGGAATTTTGACAATAAACATCCTGAAAATGATCATTTATGTAAGGATTTAATGACGTATTCTATTTGTAAATTGGCGCATGCTTCAATTTCTGAAAAGTAGGTGGTACGTAAATTGTATATCTCCCAACAGTAATGATTGTTATAATTTGCTAAAATCTTGGGAAAAGCCCTGTCTATAGAATGTGATGCTGCATTCATGGAACTGTATTTACTCCTGTCATTATTAGAACATTATCATATCAGTTGAGGCTAAGCATAGAGTGACCCACGTAAATACTCAAAATCTGGTAGTGTACTTTGACATCGACCACCTTTTGAATTGTAATACTCGTAATAACAATTAATTAGATGTAATGTTATGGTCAGTATAAAATACACTGATTGATAACTGTGTCAAGCTAATCCTTTCCCTCGACTGTCAAAAGGAATCTGAAGCTGTTTGCTGTACAATATATATCATTGTATCCATGACAGCCACTTTTGATCCCTTGACTATCCTGTCAATGCACAGAATTTAAAGTTTGTTGATAGCCATGCAGACATATTATATCATCCTCTTACGAGTTGGTAGCTTTATTAGCGACATCTGACTGAAAGTCCGGTGATCTGTAAAGAATCAGTTGTACAGAGATAATATTGTACAACAGGCTTCACTGAACACAATATTCCGACTTTATACGTATAACAATACAAATCCTATGCAATGAATCGTAAGCTTCAGGGAATTAACCCAAGGGTTAATGATTCAACATTCCAATGTTATTACCTATCATGTAATGTTTGTCAGCTATTCAATAACGAATGATTGAATAACACTATTGATATGGCTTTTTGATCAGTTCCCACGCCTTTCAAAACAAAGAGATGCTTATTTTGACACGGCCAAAACTGAATATAACAACTTTTTGAATATCATCGAATACTGTAAAAACATATAAATTATGTGGCTTTAAGTTTAAATACATTCAGAGTCTATGTGGTCGGCGCAGGGATGCGTAACTGAACTCAAGTGGCCGAGATGTCTGCGGTACATGGGTTTATACTGACTATTTTCACCGTGCGTTCTGTCAGCAATGTTCCACGCATGTTATATATGCAGTTTCTACAGTGTATTTCAAGTAAAGTGAAAGTTTGTTCTCGAACCTCAACATTGATTTAATGAATAATTTAGTCTTATCCCCCATATTGATAAACTTAAGTGATACTTCTCAGTAATCCTGTGACTACAATTACTGAGTGAGATTTTTACGTCACATTTTTCATTCAAATCATT